CAACAGTGATCCATTCCTTGTGATGGTGCTTCTTGTGGCCCAGAACCTCATGACATGTTGATGTGATTGCCTCTCTTATCCCTTTCCAGTTGCTCTCCACAATGGTTCCTTCTCCATTGAGTAGATCATGAAAGGCCTGGAACTTGTTGCTGAGGACTATCTTGAATTTCTTGAGTTTGTTAGTATCCTGAAGAAAGGCCGTATTGAACTTTTGTGATATTGTCCTCCCCATTGTCCAGTGCTTCTTGAGTTTCAATTTCATCTTGGCGACCAGCAAGTGATGATCTGATGCTATATCAGCTCCTCTCTTGGTTCTCACATCTTTTATCGTCCTCCTGAACTTTTTGTTGATGCAGATATGGTCGATTTGGTTTTGCGTGGTGTGATCCGGTGAAGTCTATGTGATTTTGTTAATGCGTTTATGTGGGAATATGGTGCCGCCTATGACCAATCTATTGAAGACACATAGGTTTGCGAATGTCTCACCATTTTCGTTCCTTTCTCTCAGTCCGTGTCGTCTCATGATGTCTTCATATCCGGTGTTGTCCATTCCAACCATGGCATTTAAATCAGTTTAGAATATGTTAATCACTAATTGATTACACAATATCACAAGAGGTTTTTTGTGGATATTATAGCGATTTTAATAGTTGAGATCATGAGTCAATTGAATCTAGAGTACCATGAAAAACCTCGAAGCACTGGACGGCCGTTTCGTCCTAGTATAGGACTCCTCAGCAGTGTGCATACATGATCCCACCTCATGAGATTCGACCTATCAGTCTCGCGCGCGATCGCTTAAACTCTAGACCACTGAGCTGGCATCCAACGGTGTTAATGTTTATCTTCAACCAACCCACGAAATTGAGCCACTGTCCACCATTGTCTTCAGTGGGTTATTATCTCACAACAGACCCGGTTGAATTCCACTGGTTACTGCTTCTCACTAGAACTCCAGGAAATACCCGTTGAAGCCAGTCACTAGTGAACACTGCTGAGGAGTCCCACAATAGGACGAAACGACTGTCTAGTTCTTTCAGGTTTTCCATGGTGATCCATCTTCAATTGACCCATGATCTCAACAATGATTACATAATAGTTAAGTCTTTTTTCTTTAACTTTTACTACTGATTAAAATCAAAATGCTCCAAGATTTATTTGATAATTTTATTTTAGAAAGAGAGTGACTATTTTAATAAGTTCACAAGTAATGATGAGTATACTGCCTAAAATACCAATCGTTTACCTTTACAGTTAGTTATTTATATGGAATGTAAATACTTTTTAAAACAGCTAATTTGTTTCATGAGCTTGCTATAATTTAAATACTGTGATTCAGTTACCCTAACGATAATGTGGTCGTTAATATGGTCTTGAGGTTTCAGGTTTGAAACACAGGTAGTTTAACTATTTTTATACTGGTAAATAACAATAAATTATTCTGAATAGAAATTGGTACCATTATAGCAACTATCCTACAACCAGTTTCTATTAGGGTTAATTTTTGGGTTAAGCCCATTTATGAACTTACTAAACAGACAATGTTATTTGAACAGTAATAATTCGCATATTTTTTTGCAGAGTTATGATCACTAGATCACATGACAGACTCTAGCTCAAATGTTGATTGCTTAAATATCACTCAATGATTCATCCACCTCCTCATGTATATATGTACTCGAATCACAATATTAGGTTTTGTTTTGCCTTACTGCGCCCTTATGCAATTTGACTAGAAATTTGTCTATGCAATCGTTCGTATATACTTATTCGCCTCTCCGCTTCAGATTTGCTCGATGTGCTTATAGATTTGTGATCTGCGCTTTAGTTGACGCCTCTCGTTTCCGTCTGTTTGAAAACACAGTTGATGTGTATATAATAGCGGTTACGAGGCTGATTAGTTAACGGAGCAAAGCCACTACACCTTTTATACACCTAATTATACAACACCTTTTATACACCTAATTATACAACACCTTTTATACAGCAAAGACATTTCATGATTCCGTACTTCAGTTACTAACGCTCTAAAAGTCATAACAACATATATTAGAGTTATGCGTTAATGAATACAACAATGCTAAGATATAGGCTATCTAGTTGACCAGTTACGTTTCACTTAACAAATCACCTAATAACTATCTACGTATTTAAATAGCCTTTTTAAATATATTGAAGAGAAAAGTAATACTACAGAATAGTTATAAATCTGAAAAAAACACGCATATTTAATAAATGGTGAAAACGAGACTGAGAGATAAACGGAGCTAAAAAACTGAGCAATTAATAATTGCACACATAATTAGGGTCTGCTATCTAATCGATTTTAACTTGTTATGACTAGTGTTAGCACAATCTTTACTGATTTGAAATATTTTATCTACCTTAAAATAGTCTCGGATATAAGGTCTTACAATATACAAAATTACCATTGTGTTTGTATGAGTGTTGGTCAAAAAGCATCTATCCTATGTCTCTTCACTACTTCATGTCCACTGGTTTAATAAAAGGTATTATCAAAACTTTTAGTAGCTTGACTTTAGCTCATTTAGTACATACAGCCGTCACAGAGCAATCATTTACAATGATATATCGTGTTTTAACAGCAATCTGCCTGAATCCTTCAGACGGTTAAAGAAATAGCTACTCGGACTAGAAAGGCGGAGCTTCGCGTACAGAAGAAATATGAGCAACCATTCCTTATACCTTTGCTAACTTCTGGTCTGTTTATTTAGTAATTTGATGATATGGTGACGTAATTCGATTGGTACTCATACCACCTCCCTCTTTGCATTTTCATAGCTTAAACGTATGTTAATCACATATATAATTATTATCACTATTGTTATTATTAATATTATAACACTCGCAAATGCTTTTAGAAATTGATTCACTATCCATCCCCTGTTTATTAAATCAAACCTAATTCATATTATTCTACATATTACATGATTTCTGACTTGTAATAAGATTATCATCTCCCTCATCCAATGTTCACTATATTTATTCTAATCATAAAGCTCACACTTTCATTTGACATATAAACTTATTCAAGTCAATACTTCATACTAGTTATCCTGACACTAACGATTATTTTATTTTACAATCCTAAATTCATGTGCTATGATTTTAAACAATGTATTTTGTCTTAAATGTGGTGGCTGATATTATTACCATGGTTACTGTGAATCCTGACCCATATTAATAAAAATTTAAGGGTACAGTTATAAATATTTAATAATAAGCGATTGGTTAATTTTAAACTATGTACTCATGTAATTAAGAACACACTTTTCGTTACTTGTAATAGTTTTTTAATCGGCTGTCAATAGTTCATTACTGTAATCTGATTAGTTGAGACTTAACTAGCATAGACTGTTTTGATTGAATGTCAAAATTTACATTTTTACATTAGAACATTTCTACTTTTTAAAAAAGACTGTCAGAAGGTCTCCGTGTCCTGAAACATTATCATCGTAACTTAAGAAAAACGTTACATAAATTATATTCGTATGCCATAACGATATAAGTTTTCTTTTCATTTAAATAAGTACAAAGATCATTCTGGTGTAAATACTGTTGAAACCTAGCCACTTTTCTTGATTATTAATTTAGATATAATAATTGTAGAATTTGAAGCGAATTTATTGAAAAGAATATTCTTCTCAAGGATTTTGTCTCTTTGACTAATATCAATAGATGCATGTATGTGCCTTGTGCTACGTTGTAAAAGATTGACTGACTGATCAATAGAAATTGTTTAAGAAGACAATGATAATATTGTTAAGTATTTCTACTCACCGAGCTGTTTTTGTAGTTGTAGTGGTATGTATGGTATGGTGTATGGTATGTGATGAAAATTTATATAATGTGCTGAAAAATTTCGTATTGTTCGTATTTCTTTTTAATTTTTCGTACTAGCTAGCATTGTGATTTCCATCGCTTGTAAAGGCCACTGCTAGATGTAATTCCTTTGTCGTTGTTTTTTTCAGATTGTAGATAGTATAGGAATAGTTTTAGCTAACTTAAAATGAAAATATGATATAACACTCTTAAACTAAAAAAAACGCAAGACCCATAGATTTATCCAAACCTTTAAGTATATTGGTTTAAACAATTCAAATATTAAATGATCCTCAGCGTTTATATTACAGATGAACTTGTTATCTGTTCTATTAATCTAAGTAAATAACAATTAGTAGAATCGTGAAACCGAACCGGTTCATTTGACATTTGACAACATATATCATCTGTAACAGATTTAAGATGTATGGTTACTCATTCAAGTGTAGTGACCTACTTTTATCAAGAGAACGCGATTGGTATAATGGAAAACAATTATTATTATAACCAATTGTACCAGTGATTGTTTTACCGTACTTGTTTGTTTAACTGTACTAAAAACATACATTCCTCCGTTGACTGTGACCTTACACGCATTCGCTTACGCTCAGTAGTTCCACTTGTACTCTTTGGCACGATCTTGGAATTATTTCGATATCACGAGATTGCCAACAAATATACCTTATTACAACCATCAACTACCTCCTGGTTTTTGGCCTACGGAGGGATCTAACGCAGTAACTGGCACGTGGTCTCAGTGTAGTGGTGATCATAGTCAACCGCGACTAGACACCATGCTACAACGCTACAAAAGTAACAATTTTTCATCTGGCTTTAATTGTATGGTTTAAAATATATTTCACTCATTATTATACAACCAGTTTTGAATTTTGGCATAAACAATAGCAAATAAATCTAATGGAAGAATTCTGTATCTGAATAGATTGAAACTACTGAGAATAGTGGATGAAGATTAATCTGTATTGTTCTCTCCATTTGTTGATATCTTAACATTACTTCTGTTGCTGGTCTCCTTTTAAAGTATGATGATTTGTAATTTGTTGTTGTTATGATTGATCAGAATCACTTATTACTTATACTTATAAAAGGATGAATCACTGTAATTTTCATGATGGGAAATAAAAACACCAAGACTAGTACAAATGATGATTTATTGAACTTAAAACACAACAACTCTAATCGAAAATAAACTTATTTCTATATTGATTGTATACCCATTCTAATTAATGATTAGGATGAAATCATATATATGAAAAATACCCAGAGTTATAACTGAATCACATGGTACATGTTATGCTGAACATAGTTTAGGTCAACTGAATATTAGAATATCGTATGTTATACGAGAAAACAAAACCAAATACTACATTGAGTAATTATCATATTGAATTAAAACGGAAGTAATGTTGAACAAAGATTACAATGAGTAAAAGAATGTAATTTCGTTTTTTAATCCCGTCATATCAGCTCCCTTTCTTTTTTAATGAATTACGTAAGAATACGTTTTCCGTGGAGAGCCTATTCGAAAGGTTGTTGTACTTTTTCGTACTCGCTGGGATCTCGTCCGATCATGCTTCAGCTTTTTTTAGCTTCATTTGAAAAAGAAATCTATTGAACCATCTGATTTCTTGTTGTGTTCATTCGTTCAATGCATATATGATTCTTCCTCCACCATGAAACAACGTTAGATCTTCACATACGCATGTTACAAATAATGTGATTATTGATCTGAACTGTCTCAACACTACTTACGCTTTCATCATATGGAAGTATAAGGGGTGTGTTGGTATACATAAAGGTTGAAGGATCCTTTTGTATGATATTGACCTGTATGGGCAATAATATAATTGATGATTTTTCCATCGTTCATACGAAAAAATACGATGCCATTATTCCATTCACAATACGAATAAGCACATTTTACATTTCGATTTGTCAGTAACAATACTTGTGATTCATGTTGGCTTGCTTTTTCTCCAAAGCATTTGAACAGGACATTTATATGTGCTTCATAACAATTCGGATCAGTAGGCGGCTGTAATTTACATATAGGTATATCACAATAGTAATGACTTTGAATTATTGAAATAAGGTTTACCTTTTTGTATATGACATTCACTTTGTCCAAATAAACGAGATAGATATCATCAGATTTGCCGAGTATTTTTAGATAGCTACAACAAATCCTGAAATGTGATGACTTATCATACAGTTTTCCAGAAACGCTGAATGTTTTATGCAATTTGATCATATTTAACATTTTTGGTGAGGTGAAATTGACACGCTTTTTATCTTCGTTTGACCTCAGATTCCTGAGGTAAGTATGAACTTTTGAGCCAGTGTCAGGTTCATCCGCTCTCATTTTAAATAAATCTTCATTTTTACCATCACAGGCACTAAGCCTTACCTTGAATTTCGAACTGTCAAACTTGGAGACTAAATTTAAATTTTTCCACTGTGTGAACGACATCATTCCTGGGTATCCTGGTTTCAGTACTGTTTCGCAAATACTTGTTATATCAAATGATTCATCATAGCATTGAGTAGGGATTCCACTTGACACATATGAAGTATAAGAGCAAGCAACATCTGCTACAATAACATTTGAACTGTGACTCATTTAAAACATATTTCTCACACTGACTAGGAGTCAACGGATTGTGAGGATAAATAACATTTGATATGGAACCATAAAAACTATAATTAAAGTTGAACTTATTGAGAATTTGCGGTTCATATTGACCAAGGTTTTCACTAGAAACAAATGCATTGTGATAACAAGCAACATTTGTTATAATATTGCTAGGATTAGATTCACTTGAAATATTTCTCTCAAATTCATTAAGGACTTCATTAAAAACTAATGAATCACTAAGACTGTCAGCAACTGATATAACGTCATTAGAAATTTTATCAGATATTGATTCATTTGAAACCTTTGTCTCACAGTAATTTTGAATTTCACTCTACGTGATTGGATAATTAGAATGAGAGGAACATTTGAAAAATGCCGGGAGTTAACCTTATTAAAGGGTTTGTTGACCTCTTCCTCAATCACAAAACTGTTTTTTTTATTGCAGAAGGAAATATATGTTACTTCGTTAAATATATCTATAGTTTCTGAGTACGATTCCAGATAAGATTGCTTAAGTGTGTGTTCTTTCAATGCACCGATGAGCATTAAATGAGATCTCATGAACACGCCTTCCTAAAACTGAAGCATTTATTTTACTTCTGCAACTGATGTCAACATGTCCTTACACCAGTAACCTCGGCGTTTGTTGTAACAGCAACTTGATAAAAAAAACCAGAAGTATATTTATAACTGAGGAAACAGGATTTGAGGTAAGTCGAACTGGCAACTGAGCTATAACTGTTACCAGACAGTCATATTGGAAACTGAAAATTGTGAATTGACTCCGTCAGCGATTGTTTTGGCTTTCTTCTCAAAATTCTTGTCGCTAATTCCTTATGGTCGTCAGTGATTGTTATGTCGGAATCACTTATTACTTATACTTGTAAAACGAGGAGCCACTGCAGTCGTATTGATGTAATACATCACAGTGTCATCGTCATAATATTTTTTGAGTTACCAATCGTGTTTTGGCTCTGCATTAATTTATAGGACTATAAAATATCCTTGCCTAAATCAGTTTATACTATTTTTGTTATAACTTTTAGCCTTATGTCAATATATAACTTAAAGATACCGTCAATTAGAGAACAGTGACTTATCAACCGAACCAATGACGCATAAACCCGTACGAGCAGTCTAGAGTCTTTATCGGTCATTCTTTCTGCCTAGCCCCACCCGTTAAGAACAGAACACCAATCTCAGCCTCTGAGATATGAATCATGTATTTCAAACATACTGGGTTTATATTACCAACCAAATAGACCACATCACATCATAAGATAGAAAATAATATTTGTACAAGATATGGTCAAAAGTAGCTATGAATATAGGAGATAGTAATTAATAGGCTGGGTATAACTTAAGAATGGTAAATCGTACAATAACAGTTTATAGGTCGAAATAAAGCTTATAATAAGAGGAATATGAATACACGTGGTTTAGTTACTTAACAATTACACAATAAAAATATATGTGTAGTATTGGTCCATAAATAGATTCCAACAGTTACTATTCATTATGCTCGTCAAGATATATCAATTTTCATGAAGATAATGGAGATATTCCCCTGTGAATATATCCTATTTTCAAAAGTCATTCAACACAGTAAATAACTTTAATATCAGAATGGGTTTTGTGGAGATTTTAGAAATTTCACTGGTTGAAATCACTAGAACTGGATGCGCACTGCTGAGGAGTCCCACACCAGAACGAAACGCCCGTCCAGTGCTTCCAGGTTTTCCATGGTGGTCTAGCTTCAATTGACTCATGATATGAACCGGTGAAATAACTTTATGTAATAATTTTGTAATACCAGTATTTCGCTGGTATCAAAAGTTATTTACCCTAATTAATTGATCCATACTGATCATAATTAATTTCAATGAATTTATTCAATTCGATGTCAAATCAATTATTCAACTGGTTATTTATTTACAGTTGACTGAATCAATAATTTTCTCATGTATATTAGAAAAATATTTATTTAGTAAGATTCTTAGTATCTCCGCCTAGAGTCCCTCTGGGGGCTACTGCCGGTCCCAAGCCCGGATAAAGGAGGAGGGTTGGGCATGGGGTTAGCGTCCCCATCCCGTAGAAACCTAACTCGCTAAAAAAATGCTAACCAGAAAAAATTATTCAAACCTTTTTGCGTAGACAATTGTTAATAAACACCTGTTTCTTCTGGATGATGGCTTTCGTAGTACTCCAGGTTTCTGCCCCATATAGTAGAACTGTCTTGACATTTGTATTGAAAATCCTGAACTTGGTGTTGGTTAGGATTTTCAATACAAATGTCAAGAGAGTTCTACTATATGGGGCAGAAACCTGGAGTACTACGAAAGCCATCATCCAGAAGAAACAGGTGTTTATTAACAATTGTCTACGCAAAATACTTCAGATCCATTGGCCGGACACTATTAGCAACAATGTACTGTGGGAGAGAACAAACCAGATCCGAGTGGAGGAAGAAATCAGGAAGAAGTGCTGGAAGTGGATAGGACATACATTGAGGAAAGCACCCAACTGTGTCACAAGGCAAGCCCTCACATGGAATCCTCAAGGCCAAAGGAAAAGTGGAAGACCGAAGAACACATTACGCCGGGAAATGGAGATAGACATGGGAAAAATGAACAAGAATTTGATGGATCTAGAAAATAAGGCCCAGGACAGAGTGGGTTGGAGAATGCTGGTCGGCGGCCTATTCTCCATTGGGAGTAACAGGCGTAAGTAAGTAAGTAAGATTTTTAGTAGTAACAATAATGACAATAATAATAATTAATGATCGATACAATTTGGAAATAAGTATTCTCTGCGAATTAGAATTGTAATAGTCTCTGTTATCTTTATTCACAAATCTTTGAATTATTATTATTATTATTATTATTATTATTATTATTATTATTATTATTATTGTTTAAACATCATTAATAATCTCCCCAATATATGGTTCATTTATTTGTCATTCATCCCTTCTTATTATGTCTTACTAATGGTTTTTTTACACAATATAGTCTTCCATTAAGCATTTGATCGAATTGTAATTGTACTATTATTTCCCTCACCCTCTCTGACCCGTATTTATTCTGATCATGAATCTTAGGATTTTCATTTAACATATAAACTTATTCTAGTTAACATTCCATATGAGTCATGTCAACATTAACAATTTTATATTCTATCTTATTTATTTTGTTTGACAATCCTAAATCCACATGCTTTAACTTTAAACGATATACTTTACCTTTAACCTGGCGATTTTTCGGATTATTAATTTGGACATATAATTGTAGAACCTGAAGAGAATTTATCGAAAAGAATATTTTTCGTTCAACTACTAATCTTTTACTTCCACTGTTTATTTAGTTCTACTGTTCATTAGGTCTCGATAATTCTTTTTAATCTGCCTTCAGTTATTGTACATTCGGTGAATTTCCTAACAAGAAGTGTGATTACTAATGATTGTTTTAAGATTTTTATATATGGTATCACATCTTTGGTAACTGTTAGAATATATATTCCTTCGTTTTTTTATTGATTTCATTTGAAATAAATATTAGTCGATTGAATTTGAGTTCAGAATTTTCCACTCATTACTTTTGATCTGTCCTAGTATCATTGAACCTACTTAACGCTAACTACAAATAGCAGATGGAAATGGCATCTAGAAATAAAAAGTGTATACGAAATCTTTTCCATTAAAAAATGTAGTCAGGTGAAATAAATAATTTTCAAGACGTTACAAATAATGCAACATTCTTCATCATCGCTTACTTTCAGCTGTACAAAATTTACTGGCCTAGATGCATCCATAGTATACTAATTAATCAATAAAATTTAGTCTTATTATTTATAGACCTAGGGACGAAGCTAGAACAATAATATTGGTGATCAAAAGATCAATTAATAATTGTGAAGATATCACCATAGAATTCTGAAGATAATTTGGTATGATGAGAAAGAGTTTATTATCCTATTATGGAATAAATATATCACATAACTACAATGACATTTGGAATACTCACCCATTCTAATCTAGTTTGTATCAGTAGTGTAAATCAATGAAGACTGGTTCTTTTACGCTTGTTTACAGTCAGTTCTCAGGTTAATCACACTACCAGTAATGTGACAAATAATTGAGACTATTCGAGTGTGTCAATATATAAATAAATTATAATATAATCAATGAATTGATATTTAACAACTTAATAAACTGTCCATTTAGCTTCCACATGTATTCATTGGCTGGTAAGTGGAATAATCAATGTTGCAAGGTTATATAGACAGTCTCTCCAAGTCAATAGTTCACTAAGCTTTCTCCCATTCTTTTTCTACATAATATTAAATATCAGTTCATGATAGCTGTCAAAAACAAACTGCCTTACGGTTTTTACTACCTGTTTTCAATATGATAAACAATAAGGATAGTAACAAATAAAAAAATCATTTATTCTCTTTATATTCTTTCCTCTTGATATTCTTATGTATATTTGCATATATACATCATGTGCTGGATGTGTTGATTATAAAAAAATAACACACAACAAATTTTGAAAAGAAAACAAACTAACTTCTAATTAGTAAAGTTGAAATCATCAAATATACGAGAAATATTTTTAAAAAATAAACCTGTATATGTTTGTATGTACCTTTTTTATATGCTTTATATGCTACAAGAAGAAATAACTCAATATGTTTGTAAACAATTAAATGGTAATAATTTTATTAGTTGTAAACAAACAAAGAAAAAATGAATAGTGTATATGTTGTAACTGAAGTATGAAATAAATGAGAATACAATTTAATAAGAAAACAACTTATAGTTTTAGAAAAAAAAAGAAACTGCTATAGATGTGATCTTGTGGAAAGGGAGAGAGATAGGTTGACAAGGATATAAACCAAAATAAGGAAATAAATAAATAATTATTAACCTAATCAAGAAATATATGAAATTGTTTATTGATTCTCTGTTCTCTTTGTTTTATTTTAAAAATCTGCAACCATAGTTATGTATATATGTACATGTAAATACGTTTTAAGTGTATCCATGCGCAATGGTGCATCATTTCATTAATATGAAAGTTGTATATTAGTAGAAATAAAGAGAGTCAGTAGTCTATTA